TTTTCATTTAGTACAAGCGCACCAGATCGGATTCGGTCTTTCAGTAGGACCATGGGTGAAGCTACAGTCAATTTGAATGTTCCCATTGAAATAGCGATTTTGAGAGGTTCAATGCCAATGCAACCGGTGAAAAAATCTCTGGAATGGGTCCAATTTATAAACTTATAACATAAATGAGTGACAGGGTTTGGGAGGAAAAACCCACGCTGTAGTGATTTAGGAAAGTTTTTTGGACCATTTGCCTGAGCTAGCCTACCGCCCTAGACTAACTATGAGAGAGCCACCTGGCAGGATCTGTTGTATCACTCCAATGGTTTATTATAAACATTAATATTGGTACGACAAATTTTTATAGGCTATGAAAATAAAATTTAAAAAAAAAAAGAAAAAAAGTAGGGTATGGGGAAAAAAGTTTTACCTTGCCAGAACTCGATGTTGTGGAACGAATTTCCTGAGATTAACGTCTTGAGCCTCCTTGTAGCCAACTACATACAAACCTAGCTGCACGTTGTATACGGAATCATCGAAGTAGTTAACAGTTTCCGTGGCTCCAAACGTCCGCGGAGCTGTGAAATTTCGAGGGTACCTGGAAGTTTCAAGTTCTGCTTAGCTGTTTCTTCTACTGGGAGGTCAAATTTTAGGGTTAGTAATTCTGGCGCAAAGTTGGGTTACATCGGGTAAAATATGTGACTTTCGAAATGCTTCTGTGGGATCCAACCACTATTGAGATGAGGCATTCACATAAAATAAACGGGGTTGCTCATTTCGGAATCTTTAATTTTCATTTCCAGCATCCTACAGGTTTCCGAGAAATTTTTATGGGTAAGAACTACCTTGAAAGCTTCTAATGTCCAATTAAATGGATATGAACATAGGAATAGATTGAAAGTTCTTAACTCGAACCATTTGATAGTCATCTGAGTTGGCGGTGGATTGATGTACCAGGAATGGATGTTCCCTATATCCAGACGCATCGGATCCAAAGTGGGTGGCACTAAAATTATGGAACCTATATTTTGGTACAGAGTAGGGAGACGACGATTCAAAAGAACAAGAAAGGGAAGGACAGAAGTGATCTCTTGGTAAAGTCCCAAACAGCGTTGAGAAGTTATACAAAGAAAGGCAATCAAGAGGTTTTTCTCACCAAAATATATAAATCCAACGTAGGCTTTTTCATCGTTTGAAAGACCTGATTGTGGTTGAAAGTAGACGGTTTTGGTGCCCCAATCGAGAATTTTCGGCAATGTACATCGAGCTATAGATGGATTCAGAATGTCGCATTTAGCCATCTGGAAAAAAATTTGAACTCCAAATTTCAACTTCCACAGTCCGCATTTAACTTGGTTTCATTTTTTAGTTCTCATAATTATACTAAAACTATTTCAAAAATAGTAAAAAAGTAGAAGTCATGTTTGAATTAATTCTAGTGAGTAAAACTCTCCAACTTCCAAATAATTCTACTCCGTTTTTGTTTGACTTTGTAATGAGGGTGATTTTGGTAATTTCGAACTCGATAAAGTCAATTCAATATGTGCACCGCTTTTTAGTAGAGTAGGTATAGCCTACCTGTCGTTGCTCTATCATGAGAACGTAGGTGATAGCATGATTCAGACACATTCCATTGACGTCAACCTTCGTCTGACCGAGCATTGTTACGATATTTGGATAGATCAGAAGGGGAACTGGAATGATGATATTACATTCCTAACGTTCAAACCAGGTTCCTAGGACTTTTCATTGGACCATGTTGGTTGACTCAACCTGACTGCTGAGCGCAAGTACGATGAACTTTCTACGCAAGCATTTTCCCCCATTACACATCACAGGTCCATTACACCACTGATTACAGTTAATTATATCTTTAAGGTATCAATAATTTCCAAATTCTAAACACAATTTTAAGAGGGCAAGGCTTTTTTCTAATGAGCTCATTACCTTAACCCAATGACTCTTATGCAGTTCATTAGTTTGTTATATTTGTTTGTTTTTGTGTTCAGTAACATTGTCCACCACCAAGTTTTGCTCAATCTCTGAAGCTACCTACTTTGTATATTTTGACTTCGCCCACATTCGCATCATATGTGCGATTTCCCCAAATCTTGGCCCGTACCCCATCTACTCGAAAGTTGCAGATAGGGATTCTCATAAATAGCAAAGTCTTAGTTGTTAACCAGCCATAGGAAGTTAGCCCGATCTAGCCCAGGAGGGGTGTGGTGCAGTAGGAACGAAATTGTCGCCTCGCGGCGAGAGAGATGCCGCGCGCGAAGGAATGTAGCAGAATGCAGAAGTAGGTTAGAAATACGGGAACAATAGAACTAACAGCAGAATCATGCCAAAAGTAATAATCGCATCGCGATTGAGCTGTATGAAGAACGCTTGAACTGTTATAACGAGGCAAATTGTCCGCGACAGCCGCGTGCGGCGAATCGATTTCACAGAACCGTTCCTACTGCCCGTCTCCCGCCCAGGAGGGGACATTTTGTAGACGCAGAAGATAAAATATGTATAGATTCTTTCGTTCAGGCACAAAATCGGGACGGTGGAAAGAATTAGCAGCTGGCGGTATTCTAACGGAGTTTCTGAGTGCGGTTTTTCGGGGAAAAGTCGAATAGAACTGCACAAAATTGTGCTGCAGACTCTCCAGGTAAATGATTCAAATTTAAAATCGAAATAGATCTGAAAACTAGTTTGATTCTGAAAAATGTAGTCTAGAGGAGAGCATGACTTACATGTGCCACCGGTTTTGTTCCCACAACCTGCTGGCCGGACGACGTCATCAGTTCGGTGGAAGTACCTGTAAGACTAGATAGGAATTTCCTGAAGGCTTTCATTTCCACCCAGCTTCCCGTTTGTTTATTGATTTTATTCGCAGCAATTTCTGTCGATTTCTTCAAAACAGTGTTTTTCCTCGGGGTCCTACCTTCCCCTGGTTACATGTGGTACGGCTGATCGTGAAGCGAGGGATGACGGCTGTTGCTTAGTAATTTCGGATAGATCGACTTGTACTGAACCCGTATGATTACCGCCATTGAAGATTGCCTGAAATAAGGCAGATGAGTTGCGATCAGGGTGATTCACAGAGCAATGGGAGTCCGTGGATATCACCAACCTGGCATTTTCCGGTACGAGAATTCCCGTACATATCGGCTGCATCAAAGCCAAGCTTGTAGTAATTGATCATTGAATACGAAATAAGGCCCTGAAAGAGGGATTCAGAACTGATCCCCATGAATGGCAATGTGCAAGGGATACGATGAGACTAGTCAGCTTCAAGAATTACCTGAGCATCAGACATCCAAACGAGTTGATAGGTAGACAGGCCAAGTTCACTGCCGATATTGGGCCGCATATTCTTCCAGGTGACTACCAAAGCTGCTTCGGCCCTGAACGTTGACGCACCAGCAACTCCTTCTGAAACATCACCCTCATGAATTCTCTCTTGACGGTATGTCTGATCAGATGAATTATTTCTCCCTGTAGTACACCATGATGTGAGCTGGGGATCTTCGAAGACTAGGGTTTGGTTCTGTTATACGGACTCACGTTGTAGAGCCCTTTGGAGGGCGTCTAGAAACTGCTCAGACTGATCATCACATCGAAAATGAGCCGGTTTGCCAAGACATGGCGCACGCCCCGCCAGAGGATCTCGAACTGAAAGCAGCACATTCAGCATTCAGAATAAATTCAAAGATCTGATGATTTTTTGAAGGAATGCTAAAATCCTAAAACTTCCAGACCCTTCCTGCCCCTTCCAGGAGCACCATAGTCCCTCCCCCCCACCACTCCTTCCCCAAACTCTTCCTGATGGGGCCTTACAGATAGAAATTCAGCGATCTCACCAGCCTGAACTGCTCCTCTCCGGGTTTCCACTCTGTAGAACACTCTGGAATCAACACCTTGACCACTTTGAATGCGTTGTCTGGAAAATAAAATTTCAGTTATGAAGTTTTTAATCTTTTCAATACAATTATTTCAAAAATGAAGGATGTTCAGTAGTTACATGGTCAAGCATGTATGCTCTCCATCTTCAATCGTAATTTTATCTAGTTTACTTAATTACTTGCATGTTTATTTACTTTCGTATTCAAGCACATTCAAGGCGCAAAAGTAGGAGCCAAAAAGCAATTGCCCAATTTCTCAGATAAAGAATAGACATTAAGAAAAGGTCAACTTTCTCGCAGAATTTCAGAGTTTCCAGGAAAAAAGCAAGAAATTTTTTCAGCAGAAAAAAGACTGAGAAAGATAGCAAAGAGAAGCTTACTTGCACAGATAGGGTGCAATAACAGCTGGATCACTTTGTGTCGGCCAATCCACATCTAAACCCAGTTGAAGAGTCGACGAATCATCGGAGAAATATGCAAAACTGATATAGCCATTGGTCGAAATCTAAATTGATCAGAGCTACTGATTTTATGGGTCGATATTGATGTCGCTGATCAAGAAGGCTTTCAAGCGGAGGGGCGTGGTCAAATGCTATTTTGGACAGAACATGTTTCGATGTTCTATTTATTTTCACTTTTTCATCCACATTAACAAAGGTCTGCAACGGAGGGGTAATCTCTCCATGGGGCTTAATTGTGTGCTAGGTTTTTTAGGTGCATTTTGTGATTTGGAGGAATAAGGTTGATCGGGCACGTAGCACTAATATTGGAACCGGTTCGAGCAGTTCCATGATCGCAGGAGGCACTCTCCTGGTAACAATGAGCCATATCAACAAACGTTTTGGTATGCCCATTTTAGGTGTCCCTATATTTCCATAAACACCGGAATTTTTCATAGAAAGCAGGTCTTCTCAAGCTAACAGAAAAAAATTTCAAGATCCACTTTTTGATATCCTCTTTGAGGCATTATGAATGGAAAAGCAGCGATTTCATCAGGCTGATTTGTTCTTCTCGGGTCATCTCAGGATTTCCATGGGCTCCTAAAGCTCTTCTTTCAGTAGACTTGTTATTCCTGGCCAACAATGTTTGTCTCAAAGAGTTCAATCTTACTTACTTTCTCATACGGCTCGTCTTCAAAGGGTTTAATCTACTGATTTAATAACAGTTTCGAACGGAAGATTGCCCTTTGATGTGGTCCTACAAGCTTGCTTTTTCTCTATGTGACACTTCCGTTGAATGCTGACTCAATTCGGGGGTGTTCAACATTGCTTCGTAATAATGCAAATATGGACGCAGCGTGGTTGTGATAAAAAAAAACTGTTTCAGAATCGATAATGGCCACCTTGGTGATGTGCTGATTCATCCAATCAATAGAAAATGATGGACAAAGTTGAATGGAGCCACTTGAAATCATAAGCGTTTTTCACCAAATACAATTGAAAAGCCCTCAGGACGAAAAATGACGAAATCGTGCGCAAATCAGACAAACGATTTTGCCCTTGAGACGAATTCGATTCCAGAAACAAGAGGACCGCTCTTAGATCCATTCTACTGGTCATTTTGCCTAATCTGCTCTGAAATTGATCAATTCCTGGAGAGGTTGCTGTTGGGAATAGAGTAGATGATACGGTCTGGATGGACCCAGTAACCACCTAAGATACAACTTGGGATTCTCCAGTAATTCCTTGACTGTAGTCTTGTTTGCCTCATTAAAAGCTTGGTGATACCGTATGCGGCAGATTAGTATGGCTTGACTAGTAGGCAAACATGGGCAGGAATGAAGCCTAACAGTGGTTTCTCTCCCTTTCTTGACGCCCGTTTGTAGGTAATCCATGAAAAGCTGCTTAAGTAATCTGAAATCTTTTGAGCAGAGGTCATCTTCGCTTGTTAGGTCCAAAGTTGATCTTTGAAATGCTTTGAAATTTTGAAGCTCAGATATTTGTTTATTTTATTTAGTTGTTGACTCATTTATCTGGTACAAGTCATTTAGATGTCCGCTGTTACAAAACCTCTATCACTTCAGATCACCCAGAAACGAACAAAACGGTAGATTGTGCCGTGTTAGGTGAGAAACCCTTCAGTTCCTACTAGACGAGTAAGCTGCCAGGGAGGCTCCGAAGCTAGGGCACAGTGAATTTAAATGTAGACATTAACTTTCAATCAAATTCCATTTATGAGGACGGCCCCCCTCACTTTGCAGCGCGCATATATGAATGAAGGGTCTAACGAATGAAGAATTGATCGGCACAGAGTGGACGGGCAGGTTAAAATGCTTGAACGGATGCCAATCTTCAAACGGTTTATTTATCAATAGTATTTATTCATTATTATTTGGATTTAGCGCTGAGCAAGTCAGCACCGTCAAACTGACGGCCGCTCGTTGAGTGGTGCTCAAAACCTGGCTCAGTCTAATCTGGAATACTACTGAGCATACGACGAGCCACTGATCCCACGGTGAAGTGTCACTTTTTTTAGAAGGATGAAGAAGAATGGCATAGAAGATGAAATTGGAAGAAATTGAAAAGGTTGTTCGGGTTATTTTATATGCGCCATGCGTCCGTTTTGGGTGCAGTGAGCAGAGTCGTTTGAAGGGGTGGCAAAGTTGGAGGGTTGAAAGACAGGATTGTTTTCTTGTACATCCACTGAGTGTAGTTCCGTCCCAGATTTCTCTGATAAGTGTCATTCGTCCTCTTTCTCTTCTGAATAGGGACTGATTCCATGCCGAGCTAAGCCCAAAAGTAAGGTGGTTTGCAAGTTTGGTAACGAAATCGATTATTTTTACGAACGCAGAGGATTTCTCAATAACAAGTCTTCCTTTCTATTTGGTGGCCATCATTCTGAAAATCGATACTCGAAGATAAATGTCTGTATTTAATTATATATGAGTTTTATGGCCAGGAAAGTCGGGCAAGGCAAACTGTGTCAACATAAGACAGAGGTTGATGTAGCTGAATTCATGGAGAAATAAAATTTGAAAAAATTGGATTGAAAAAAATAAAAAAATAAAGCAAAAACGAACGAGCAAAAACGGAGTTCAAGATCCATTGCATCAGTGACTTACCAAAGTATAATTATAACGTCCACCATAAAAAGGGAAAAAGTTGTGCAGACGAATGTTCAGGCCATTCTGTCGTTGGTTGTCGGAAATGTAGCGATCACCGAATTCTTCACCATACCGAACCAAGTTACCTAGTGAAGGTATGTTTATTGGTAAACACATCAATTTTAAACAGCACTGATATTGAAATCATTCATTCAGTTGTTCAAGGATGAGACTGTTTGATGGGGAAAGGATTTGGTAGTGGATGGACTTGAAAGCACTCATCAAAACTTCTTGAGCACCTCACTTCTCCCACACAGTATCCTGGCTGCTGCTCATTCCCAAGAAAGATGCAGAAGAAGGTAACAGGTAAGCGGATGATCTACCAAATTGCAAATAAATGATTTACCCAACCCAAGTAAACTCAGAAGTACTTGTTTTGATGCAAAGAGAGTAAATGTGGTAAAATGGAAGTAGCATAAGGATCATTTGGAATTCACTGGAGGGCATCTATGACCTCATAGGTCCGATTACAAAAATTTCCATCATCGATATGGGACGAGGGAGTACTGAGAAAATGTGAGGGCTGCAAGTCATCTCGTCCAAACACCTGCCCATCAAAAGTTGAGTATGAGTATTTAGATATGAAGATGGCCGACAAACATATAATTTTCCCATTCCAAAAAAAATTAAAAGCACTCCAGAGAGCATAGAACGGGTAAGTGTGCTGAGACAGAATAACTTACTACCTAAAGTACCGCCTGGAGATAAGTTTACTACTGTAGGTGTTCTGTCCCATCATGGTTCGACACTGAGAACCCTTTGCCCTATCGTAAAGGGACAGAATCGTACCCCAGAACAGTTTTATTGGTTCACTGTACGCTTTTGATGGCGTTTTCAAAAATCTGTCGTCAACTGGTAAGCAGCTAGTAGTGTTCGGGTGTTTCCTATCAGTTCCCAGATCGATTTCACATGACAGCGCAGTCTTGGAGTATTTTCCACTTGAATAGCCCGGAACTTGGCTCAATACCCGACACCTCGTGCTCACTATCAGATATGGCTAGTAACAATAGCAAGTAGCAGCAATTGTAAGCTGCTGCCGAACATGGCTAAAAGCCGACTGACTCAGGCAGAGGCCGTCGTCGGGGACGTCGTAGGCCCCGTGTGCTGGCAAAGATGAGTCACTGGTTTTGATACGACAATCTCCAGGCATTGTCGGCGGCTCTTCTTATGCTGTTCACACGAGTTGTGTGAATCGTACTGGGTGTTTGCTATGTTTTCCTTGATGGAGCAGCTTCATGTGGGATTTGATATGTGACGATCCTACTATAAGAGATCTTCGTACTTACAAAATGGTGAGGTACAAGATCAAGCTGATGAGCGATCAAAAGTTTGCTGAGGTTGTTGTGGTGTTGTTTTAGGCGGTTGCTTTTTATTTCGTACATTACTTTTTTTCAAGAGATACTGTAGGCGCTTTTCTGAGGTTTCTTATAATCAGGACGAGGGTATTTAGAGCTATCCTTTAAGGGAGAAGCGTAAGATGCTTTCTTGGAAAAGCGTAAGGTGCTTACTTGCCACCCCACCCTCCCCGCCCAGGTGGGGGACGGGGTGGGACAGGTCGCAATTCCAACAAGTTCCTCTTCTGCAAAACACGGGAAAAGCTGATTAAACACACATGGGGGGGGGGCAGTG